CAATTGGGGATGTTCGATGTGTGCCTGCGAAAGCCCTGGTGCAGCCCACGCCCAGTGGTTAATTTGTTTGTGCATTGTCAAAAACTAACTCAAAATTGTGAGGTCCATGCGTACTTAAGCGACGCAGCACACGTGCACATGGCCAACATTAGAAACGCACGGGCTTGCAAACACACAACGGCAGCCTTTTACTGCTTCACCTAGCGACAAAAACTCAAGGCACCGCAGTGGAACCGGGTTTCCTGCCTCCTGCTACACACATGAGTGCTTGTCACAACGCAAGTACAACTCGGAGGCCCCGCCTGAAACACAAGTGCTTCACACAAGCCAAGCACACTTTCCCACCCCACCCCACACACACACACACTCACTCACACGTGTTGTCGCAGCACGAGTGCACACGTGGCACCTTCTAGGTGGCCCATCTGACTTTCTTTGAGCTTTGGCGATACTTGTGTTTCTGGCCTCTGAGAACACGTGGGACCTTCCCACTGGTGCTTCTAGGAGTTGCATTTGAAAAAGCACTTTCCCCACTCTGGTCGTAACAAGCACTGTGCTTTCTGCGGCACCCTTGCATTGGGGGGATTTAGTTTTGCCTGCTTCCTGTGGGACGTTCTGCTCCAAACTTTCTCGAAACAATCGCCCAGCTTTTCCCAATTCACCACGATCATTGTAAAACATGGGGGGGGGGGGGGGGGGGGGGAATTGGGGTTCTCGGGCTTAGGGCTTTTCAGGTTTAGAAAATTCGGGTTGAGGGATTTTTGGCGGCTAGGGTTTCAAGGGTGTTTAGGATGCTTGAAATTGTTTAGTGGTTTTGGGCTTTGGGGTTCAGGGTGCTCACAAAATGCTCGACCCAAAAAAAACAAAGCTGCTAAACGCCAATGCTTGCTCTGTACATAGCAATCTCAAACCCCAGACTCGCACCGAATTTAGCCCCTGACAACCCTGCGTGACCCAAACTTCCAGCCATACACTAAACATCCTAAACCAAAACTAGCTGACCGACTAAGCCCGAAGCCCTAAACCGCCAAACCCCCCATAAATCCCTGCAGCCTTTCAGCTCGAGGGCCATGGCTAAACGCCTTGGAGGATTCTCTGAGGGTTGAGGGTCGACGGTTCCAGGCTGCTGGGGAGGTGTAGGAGGTCAGCGGGGCCCACCTGACGTCTGCAGCACCGGTTTCAAAGCAACACTAGCCAGTGCACCCTAGACTCTAGACCCCTCAGACCCTCGTCAATCCTCAACCTCCTGGCCGCGGAGCCCTCAAGCCCGCAGGCCGCAACTCACAAAGAAAAAACAAATCATGATCGTAGAAAATCATCCTGATCATAGTCACCACCATCACAAGGAAAGCCATATTCATCATCGTGGTCCTCGTCATCATCATCATGGTCATGGACATAGTCATTGTCGTGAGAAGAGTGATAAGCCCTAGTAAATAGCTTGTCTTGTGAGTCTCCGGCTCTTCCTCGTTGGAGGCCTCATCCAGGGCTTTCTGGACCTGCAAGGCTGAATCCCCACCGAAAACAACCCAGATACTTGGATCAAGAGCCACGACGCATGAAAAGGTTGCCTCGAAATGTTGTTTTTGATGCTTTGGAACTCATTACTTTCTTCAACGATTTGGCGACTCCGGGTTGCAGAGAAAAGAAGGGCAGGGGCCCTCCGAGCCCTTGCCCAGTGCAGAGGGCTGCAGCATGTATCTTCACGACTTCCATACTCCTATGCCTCACTCTGACTGGAGGCCTTTGCTTACTGTATTGAAGGCGAAGTCGAGCCTCGCGGCAGCCTTTGCTGTCCCGTGAAAGGCTCCACAGGCGTCGGAACCTGGCATGCAAGGCTGCAAAACCCAAACGCTCAGCAACCTTGACCTCTCAAGATTTCGGCCGCCCAAAGCCCCTGGAGCGCGAAAACTTATGTGCTCAACAGGAACAAACGCCCATGCCCAAGCGAGTGCACTGCCCCACCATGCGAATCCTAATGAGAGCAAGAGGAACTCCAGGTTTCAGCTGTACAGTACGCGGAATCCCTGTAAAGTAATGGGCCTTAGCTTCTCACGAAGCCCTCGTAAGCCCCTCTTAAGCCCTATAAAACACATTTAGAAGCCCTCGTACACCCTCTTTGAACCTGCAGACGTTCCCTCTTGGCCGCTGCCGGCGACGTGGACCGAGCCCCTGGCCACCAGGCGTCAGACCTATCGCCTGCAAGCTGGCCGGATGCCTCCGGCAGGGTTTTCGGTCTTTGGGATGCTTTTGGGTTCCAGGTTCAGGGTTTTAGGGATTCAGAGCTAATTCAGAGCTTTTAGGGTTCATGGGTCTAGGCTAACCTCAGGCCTAGCAAACAGGAGAAGACAAATCGTCTTGAAACCTTGGGCTAACAGCTGAAACACACTACAGCTTTCTGGATGGTCCCTTTGGGCCTAAATGACCAGCACGCCACAAACCAAATCCCTGAGCCAGAGGCGACTAGGCGACCTGGAACAACGACGCCCGATCTGACTCCGGACCCAATTCTGTGCGCGAAGTCGAGAATTGGAGGATTCCCCCCTAGCCTGAACCTTCAGCATCCACAGAGCACGGGCAGGAACCCTTTGCCTTGAACCCTTGGTTCTTGCGGATGCCCGACGCATGTGGCACTCTGCCAAACCTTGCCTTCTCCCTGACTATGTTCTGAAAGATGATGCCTGCACTCGCACTCAGCAGAGTCTGGCATGGCAGGGCTAGGATGGGCCTGCTGCATGGTTCGTTCACACAGGCATACACTGAGCGCTCCCAGAAGCGAGACAAGACTTGATATGTATCAGTTGCCCCCAAATGTCTTGCAGGAATGAATCCTAAAACGCCCGCCGCTGCTCGGAATGGAAACTGATCGTAACGACCATGACCACGACAGCGCTCCATTCAATGATGCCAATCTCTCTGAAACCGCAAGAACTGAAGTGGTCATACATCCAAAGAAGGTGGGGCCGGCAATCCTGTGTCCAAAGTACGTGACAAACTCAGATGAAGAAACGGATGCGGGCACAGCAGGCATAGCACACAAGCGAGAGAGCGATGCTGCAACAGTTGCTGAAGGTGTGGTAGTAAGGAACATGCAAATCTGAAAGCCGACCTATGCAGAATTGACTCTCGCAACCTCGACTCTCGCAATCCGAACCCACAACACTCAACCTACTAAATTAACATGTAAACCCTCAGCCGAGCAAGCCCTGACACCCTGAAACCACAGACCTTCGACCCCCTTGGTGCCCCGGCCAAAAGCACGGGACTGCCCCTGCCGCTCGGCAGCGTCGATCTGGGGGTTCAAAGGCATTTGGGGGTTGAGGGTTTGGGGGTCAGGGTGTAGCAAATACCACAAACTGGAGGGTGACTCCCTGGCGGACTTAGAGTTTCCGAGGGAAAGCGGACGACATTGGGTTTAGGAGTTGGCCCCGCGCCTTTTCATGCAGCTCTTTGGGCAGGTAGCAGGCCTTGCGCAGAATGGGCTGTATGGAGCACAGGGTACCAGGGGTGATTCAGGGGTGATGACAGGCGCACATATGCATACAGTAGACTTCAACTCCAGCAACAGCGCCCAGTGAGTGTCTTACGGATGTGTTGGAGCCAGAATCCGACCCACTGCTCTCCTAGCAGCGCTCAGCACGTCACATTGAGAAGGCTCAGCCCTCAGCCCCGCAGTGTTATCGCCAGACTCTCGAAGCCCAGCAGTTCAGCTTCCCCACCCGCACCCCCGTATTGAGTCCAGGTGGCCCAGGAGGGCGATTCTGTGGCCAGGCGCAGGCGGGAGCTCAGCGCCTGCAGCGGATGCGCCTCGGGCTCTGAGGTTGGCTGCCGGGGCTGAAAGGTTGAGCTGGGCCTTGGGTTGAAAGGAATGAGGCACGGAAGCCACGGGCCCAAAACCATCATATAACTTTCCCTATGACATTGCAGCAACCTTCCGAACCCCAGTTGCTGGGTCGCATGCCAGAGCGCAACGATCCAGAGCTGGACCTGGAGAATGTGAGTTGACCGTTGGCTGCATACCTCTTGGAGTTTCGAATTTCTTCCTGGAGCGAACTTATCTTTTCAGGGGTCGGGCTGGATCCATTGAGGCCGGAGGACTTCCACTTCAGCCCCCTTGCAAGACCTCAGTGTCTTAAGCCAAGTGTACGCTTCAGTTGCGGAATCAGCATGCACTTCGAGCTTCGTGCTTCTCAGCTACAGATTCAGGCGGGTGTAGGGCTTGGAGCTGCGAGATGCGCACACTGCAAGCTCCTACATACGGCCCGGCAACGACTTGGTTCGGTGAATATCCGTTCTCTTGCGTTCCTCAGCCCTAAACCCCCGCAACCCTCAACTGCTGGGGCCGGGGCGCTCCGCACTGGGGAGGGTTTCCATGCCGAGGTCTGACCGAACTGCGCCGATGAAAAAAGGGCTGCAGGCGAAGAATTCGAGTAGAGAACAAAAGCAGGGCGTTCAGAGTTGAGGGCATGTCTTTGCTCAGGGCATCAGCGAGCCCATGCAGGCCCGTGAAAAATCCAGACTCAACTCATGCTGAGAATGACATCACCGTTGCCACAACCTGACAGGCTTTTTGTCCCACCGCATGTTTTGTCCTTGCGAAAGCTGTCTGAGAACCACTGCGCCTCCACGAGAAACTGCCAGCAGAGCCGTACCACAGATGCGACAGCTTCACTCAGAAGCGAGCAGTGTTGGAGCCTTGTCTGAAACGGAGCTGCCGAAACTGCCAGGCAAGCCAAACCACAAAACTGGCTGCACCGAGCAGTGGAAGGACAGAACAAAGAGGAGATCTAGCAAATGCTCTACAGTATAGCTAGAAACCTCCCACTGTTCACGGCTGCACGCACAAAGGGCCTCAAAGCAAGTCAGACTCAGAGGCGGCTTAGAGGTCCGTCCTCCTCACTTCCACTTCCGAAGCCACCTGGGCAAAAGCCCGCAACACCGCGAAGTGATCCTCGGCGTCCTTGAAGCCCACGTTCGCACGCAGCTGGGCCACGGTGTTCTCAAAGCGGGACAGATACAACACGATGAGGAGCAGTGGCATAATCTCCGGGTCGATGCTGTGTGTCGGGAAACATGGAACTCTTCTCTCCCAAAAATAGCATCTCGGCAGTTGCAGATGCCTTCGATTGATCAACTTCGATGCCCATGTTGGCCAGCCAGGACTTGAGCCGCTGCGAGTCCTGGGCAGATTCCTTGGAGGTCGGTGCCGCTACAGCGAACTGCTGGAAGCGGCGAAGCTGCTCTGTGGTGGGCTCGCAGCACTGCCCAAAATCCAGGAGCGCCAGCCTCCCGTCTTCGAGGCTCATAATGTTTCCAGGGTGAGCGTCCATTTGGAAGAAGCCGTGCTTCAGCACCATGGTTGGCCGCCATGCAGGCATTGCACCCAGTGTTAGTAAACTTGCCTGTCTGACTTTGTCTCGGATGGAGGGTGCTAAAGCTCTGATACTCATGGCTTGTGATACCTGTGTAGACGCAGGTCTCTGGCTCGTCGAAGACCATGCCAGCCGCAAGGTAAGCTTCTGGCACCGTTAAGAGGAGCAAGCGCACCTGTGGATCCATGGCTTCGGCTTCCTGCTTGGACATGTTGCGGAAGTAGCCGCAATCGAAGCCGAAGATGGTCCCGGAATCAAGCCAACCGCCGCGCAGCGTGTACAACTTTCCTGCAGCCGCACTCAGATAGTAGTCTTTGTCGAATCTGCCGTCCTCCAGCTCACTTGTCAAGTCCTCTTCCTTGTTGAGCCTCTCCCACCTTACGCGAGGGCTTTGTCAAAACTTTGGGTAGCTAAGGGCTCAGCACCATCCTCTCAGAGTGCAATCCACGCGCTTCCCGGGTCAGATGAGCCCGCAACAGTTCGTCGGCACTGCCGCTTTGCGGGCATCTCATCCCGAAAGCTACGACGGCAACAGGCTCTTGCCTCCAGCACAGCGCAGGCAACATCACTCAGCAGCAGCAAGATGCAAAGCCAACAAAACCTAGTTGGATCAAAGTCGCTGCGGCCCATCTCCCAGAGGCGGACGGTGCCAACTTGGCATGTAGCCTAATCCTGGCCAGCACCGAAGGTTTGCAAGGCGCGCGGCCAACTATCTTGTCTGGAACCCACACAGCTGCGCGCAACGAAGCTCAAGAATGGCAGCATTGAGCTCGGATTTGAAACGAAAGCCAGAACATTGACACATCACAAGGTCCACCATGGTCCGGGATAATTTGAACATGACCCCAGGGGAGCGGTACTGCGAAGACTGACTTTTTCCACGGCACGACTTCCCTTCCAGATTACTGAGAGCTCTTCAGGACTGCCATCCTCATGGAGGCATCATGGCCAAACAGTTTCAAGCGGCAGCTGTTTTGATGTGTGATAAATGGAGCTGCCAAAAATGGGCCGAGTCACACGTGCCTTGGGGTCTGCCTTTACTATGGCAGTCCTTCCTTACCTTCCCTCAAAAACCTCCGGCCTAATAAAAATCTCGACCTCAGCCTGCCCTGAACCCAGTCCTACGCTCCGACCTTCCAAGACCCGGATCTTGCGGCGATGCTTTGAACTTTGGGTCAGCACCGAAGGCCAGCGTCTCAAAACCAAGTCCCAAATTTTAACCCTGACGGTCTTAACCAACCCACTTTCTCGGGAGTCCGCCCCGTCAGACAACGGTTATACAAAGGCTGCAGCACGCTAGCTTCCGGGGTTAACTATTTTCGGTTCGCGGTATCTTTCAGGGAACGTGGGATTTCGCATCTGTCTACAAGAAAGGCCACACGTGGTCAAGGACAGTTCCTATGTATCCTGCACATCTCTGCGACAAGCAAGGCAGACAAACCGCCCTTCAGTCGTAGCAGAGCGGGTAGATGAAATGACTTGCCATGCAGGGACCTGAGTTGTTCATGCACAGGCAATAAGAACTCGGGCACAACTCCAATTTTGTGCAAGCTTGGTAGTCCGTTCAATGAAGACTGCAGCACAGGTCATACAATAGCGCTGCCACATGCAAGCACAGCCCTGCTGCGGCCAGTTCTACCGCCTGACGAGTACCGCAATGAAGAAAGTGCTGTCATGTCGAACAGGACCAACCAGGGCCCTGACAATTGGGAGGGATTCCATGCCGAGGCCCGACCGAACTGCGCTGATGAAACAAAGGGCTGCGGGTGCAAAAAGGCGTATGATGAAACAGGAGGGGGCCTTTAACGTTGAGGTTCAGGGGCGACGCTGTAGCAAAATACCTTTCTTCCGCCACTTGATCACCAGATACCCTAAACTACTGCCACCTGGCTTTCTCTCACGGACTTCAGAGCTGGAAGAGTTCAGGGTTCAAACCTGGTCAAACCCCGACTCCATCCTCGACCCTTCCAAACCCTAGAAAAAGCTACATGAGCCGTAAAGAACCTCAACAAATCCTTAACAACCCTATGTAGGGATTGAGGTTAAATTAAGGGGTGTGTCGGGCTTAGGGTGACCTCATGATGTGTGATAAGACGAAGGGCCCAACCCCTTTGAAGTCACTGAGGGCAGAAATCCCGTGACACACGCCGAAATCTCACCATAGTCTAGGCTTCAGCGTTTCCGGCTTCGGCTTTGGGTTTGAAAGGATGACTCTGAGACGCCAGCTTCATCAGCTGATGCTTCCAGCGGAGACGCTTTTTCAAGCAAGGCGCCGGTTGAATTCTGGATCGTTGCCAGCCAAGCACAGGCTCCAGTCGCGCGTTGCTTGATATTTTGGAACCGACACGACAGGAGCAACACAAGTACTGGGTCGTCCCCCACCCTGCCTTCTATGCGTGAGTTTTTTTCCGAAGAGGAAGTGTCCAATCTTCTGTAAAAGCCAAAACCGAAGAAGAACTGATGATGCATTAAACTACTCCTGCCACCATGACTGTATTTACCATTTGCTAGTGCAGCTTCTGCTCCAGAGCCCGGGTGAATGTCCGCGCCGCGGAGGCTTTGCAGCATAGCCGTTCTCGGAGCTAGTGACTAGTGAGTGCTTCGAAGCACATGTTTGCCTTGTGTAATAAACGAAAGGGTGTGGATTTGGCTATAGTGTACCACAACCTCTGATGCAACTTTGCGCTCCCACTTTGAGGAACAGCAAATGCCCCACCCAGTTACTGGGTGTTCTCCTGAGCTGGCGGCGCCGAGTGGGATTGAAGGTTTTGTGCTTGGGGTTTGAACAACCCCGCCTAAATCCCTGAGAACAGCTGCCCCCCCCCAATTCGAAGCCCTGAACCCACAGACCCCAGATTCTGAACAAACATTCTGCACCCTGGAGGACAAAATCACATACTCGTAGTGTAGCAAGTTGCATTTTTCGTGAAGCAGAAAGCATGTCGTGTAGGCCAGACACTGCAGAGCACACACACACACAACATGGTGCTGCCCAGACAATCCTGCTAAACACTGAATATGCCCCAACGATCCCCTAAAAATTCATGAAACGCATAGGTTCTGGACTAGACAGGAAGTGTGCCCAACGACAGCCTTTAGACACTCCCTAACAAAAACGAATTTCGAACAGGGGCATACGCCAACATGAACTGGTTCTCCGACTCGGTCGCGAGTCCGCCTGATCAGGGCACTTGGGTGAGGGTTTAGGGCTGAGGAGTTGCGAGGGAGATCTTGGGATTTTGGGGGTGGTTTACGTTGAAGATTGCAAGCTTGCTGAAAGTTTGAAGGCAGGGCCCCGGACTGTTTCACGTTTCTTTTGCTTTTCGTGTGCATATCCTCACGAAGTCTCCCTATAAGGTCCTAGTAGGGCCAATTCTACATGGTCTTGCTCGAGCTTTGCTGGGACAGTGAAGTCCTGACCACCCCAAGCCCCAAACCTGCTTGTTTATGGAAGCAACTAGGCCCTCTAAGCTACGCAGGCCCGAGACCCCAAATCCTAAAACGGAACTTGCAACATCCAAACCGACCAAGCGGCAGCCATACAGGGGCGTGGGCTTCTCCGATCCGTCCAGCTTCTTGGCCAAGAAGGCCAGGGTTTTGTAGTTCCTGCGCGTTGCTGGTTGCGGGGCTTAAGGTATAGACTCAGAGATGTAACAAAACCTCAGGCCGTATGCACCCTAAACCTCAAGTGTTAAGGTCGGGCTGCTTACAGCCTCGGGTTGCTAGAACGAGGCTCTTGAGGCTGGTACGTGACAGATTGACAGGAAAACCGACAGACACGTAACACGCACATACAAGAGAGGGGGAGACAAAGAAAGAAAGCGAGAAGGAGAGAGAGAGAGAGAGGCATGGAATACTTCTCCGACCGTACATTCCAATCCGGACCCTCTATAGGCCCTGCGCAACCCTCCAGCCTTTCAACGCCTCTGCAACTTCCACTACGACGACTCTATGCAAAGCTACGGCTCGAGGTTCTTTCGTGTTTCTTGTAGGGTTTGGAGCTTAGCTTGACAGGCGAGGCTCTGGCCGCGATCACCCAAGGCCCCATGGATGCGGCTCAGCGAAAACATCCGAAGCACCGAGCCGCTGCCAGACTCGTAGATTGCGAAATCCTTGGGTGCAAGTTTAGGGCTTATATAGACCTTCCCACTTTGGGACCCTACAATAACAACCCGATTCTGGGGACCCTGGGCCTGAACAGCCGTTGCAGCCACTATCCAGAAAATAAAACGATACCACTTGGGGAATCATGAATCCAGGATGTCTGCGTGTGAGCCGCTGTACTTGCCGGCACCGTGACGGCCCTGGAAGACGAACTTGAATCCCTTGGGTTTGGTGATGTTTTTGGGCCGTTTATCATCTGCTGGATTGGGATCGCCTCCCGTGACGTAGCTGAAGCCATCCGACTGCAAGCTCATCAGCGCATCCTTCGTGTCTGTGTACGCCTGGAAAGGCGAGGTTGGCAGAGAAAGCTCTGCCAAGCAGCATGCATTGCCGCAGGAGCCGAAGTCCGGCTTGTCACAATCCGAAACTTTTGCAGGGGACGTTCCACAAACACTTGAACAAGTTTGGCTGCTGAGGTCCAGGACACTCCGGTGCTGCAAGAAAAACGACGCCTCGTGGGCAGTTGCCGCCAGTATGCCACAGCCATGCACCGGAGTCAGTTTGCTATTGGAGTCCAATTTCTGAGCCAGGAAGGCCAACGTCTTGTAGTTTTGGCCGCGATCGCCCAAAGCGCCATGGATGCGACTCAGCGAAAACATTCGAAGAACAGAGCCTGTACCAGACTCGTATATGGCGAAATTCAAAATGTCTGCGTGTGGGCCGCTGTACTTGCCGGCACCGTGACGGCCCTGGAAGACGAACTTGAATCCCTTGGGTTTGGTGATGTTTTTGGGCCGTTTATCATCTGCTGGATTGGGATCGCCTCCCGTGACGTAGCTGAAGCCATCCGACTGCAAGCTCATCAGCGCATCCTTCGTGTCTGTGTACGCCTGGAAAGGCGAGGTTGGCAGAGAAAGCTCTCGTGGGCAGTTGCCGCCAGTATGCCACAGCCATGCACCGGAGTCAGTTTGCTATTGGAGTCCAATTTCTGAGCCAGGAAGGCCAACGTCTTGTAGTTTTGGCCGCGATCGCCCAAAGCGCCATGGATGCGACTCAGCGAAAACATTCGAAGAACAGAGCCTGTACCAGACTCGTATATGGCGAAATTCAAAATGTCTGCGTGTGGGCCGCTGTACTTGCCGGCACCGTGACGGCCCTGGAAGACGAACTTGAATCCCTTGGGTTTGGTGATGTTTTTGGGCCGTTTATCATCTGCTGGATTGGGATCGCCTCCCGTGACGTAGCTGAAGCCATCCGACTGCAAACTCATCAGCGCATTCTTCGTGTCTGTGTACGCCTGGAGAGGCGCGGCTGAAAGGGAAAGTTCTGCAACGCAGCAGGCATTGCCGCAGGAGCCGAAGTCCGGCTTGTCGCAGTCAGGAACCTGGAGTCGCTTTCTCCATTTCTAGTGCACTTACGGCCACTTGTAAGCTGGCCTCGACCATGTGTCGCAGGCTCCAGAGCTCCTTCTTACGGTTTTCGGTAGCAAGCGGCAGCGTTCCGAGGTTGGTAATGGTAATAGGAATGGTAATGATAACAATGATAATAATGATAATAATGATAATCATGACAATAATGATAATAATGATAATAACGATGATAATGATGATAATGATAATAATGATAATAATGATAATAATGATAACAATGATAATAATGATAATAATGATCATAATGATAATAATGATAATAATGATAATAATGATAATAACGATAATAATGATAATAATGATGATAATGATGATAATGATAATAATGATAATAATGATAATAATGATAATAATGATAATAATGATAATAATGGTAATAATGATAATAATGATAATAATGATAATAATGATAATAATGATAATAATGATAATGATGATAATAATGATAATGATGATAATGATGATAATGATGATAAGAATGAAAATAATGATAATTATGATAATAATGATAATAATGATAAAAATGATAGTAATGATACTAGTGATAATAATGATAATATTGACAACAATGCTCACAGTATCATTCCTAGTAGTAATGAAATTAACAGTAAGAGTGACAGTAGCAGTACTAACTGTGATAACAAAGATAGCAATAGCAATTGCAATCGCAGTCACAATCGCAATCTTATTCGTAATAGTAGCAGCGATAGAAGTACTGGTACTAAACTTGGGGAGCGAAATCACAATAGCAATAGCAAGCCTAGCAGCGCAGCAAGACCAGACAACAATAATCATGGTCATACTTGTAAAAAAATACTACTGCCACAGGCGAGGAGCTGTCTCGGGGTGGCTGCCGCAAACCTCAGAGCTTCGCCGAGGGGAAGGCCGTTCAACCCTGGGGATAATGAGCTTGGATTTAAGACTTCGTTAAGGTTTGGGTTTAGTTTATAGCACGGGGATTAAGGCCATAAGGAAGTCTTCATAAAGCTGAAACAAAAGGAAACTGAAGTCCTCATCAAACGGAAACAAAAGGATTCTCTAGATTTGGAGCCGCAGGTGTACCTGGAAGATTAGATTGCGAGAAGCTTGATGCAATTACAACAACACGCGCAGCCGTCCACTCTGAGATCCTCTGAAAGCCATTCCTAAGTACTGAGCACCTCAGCTTCCTACTGCAAACCCTACTACTTGCATCCTCAGCCTTGAACCCTTAAACCCTGAACCGGAATATTCCAAACCCCAAACCCCCCTCATCCCTTCCACCACCAGCTGAGCCGCACTCGGCGACACCGCTGTCGCTGAGGCCACGCCCGCGAGAAAACCAAACACACGCATGGCCTGGAAACTGTCTGATGGCTAGGCTTCGGGGAGTTCAGGGTTTAGGCGCCAGGTACTGGGCATAGATGTATAGGCAATATTTAACATGCCTTCCATTCTGGTTCTAAACACCCTCTTGAACATTGGTCTTATTGCCAAGCTTAGAGTCGGACGAGGGATTCAACAATGTACAATGCAAGGATTCGCTGGCTACAGTTGTTGTTCGGGTTGTAAGGTTCAAGGTTTAGGTTGTTTGAATGGTTCTGTGAAGATTAAACTTACTTCACGACACCTCACAATGTCATGCATTGTCTCCAAGTGTGCACACCCTCAATCAGTAGCTGCTCTTCCGGCTTTCTTCCCTGGCACAATCTTTCGCGGCAAAACGGGAGTGCTCTTCCGTCGCATTGGTTCCCCGCCACCCACTGCCGTATTTCGGGTATTTCGTCAACCCCTTCACAGCCCACCAAACTCCTACAAGTCCCCTGCGTCAAGAAGGATGCCAGAACCACGAGGCTGTCATGCCCACCCCCACATGAAACCCCTCAAAAGCACCTATATAATTTATTTCATCACTGTGGAAGAGTGAACCTAGGTAACAGCTGCAACTACGCACTCTGAGGCCGCCACCAAAAGCAACCCAACGCAACCCACGTTTTGAGCTGCAAGCAAGAACTGCAAAGCAAAAGGTTTTGCAACAATCAGCTTATATCCTCATGTCTTCTCTTGCAAGGTGAGCAAGTAGCACGCGAAGAAAAAACATATAAAAATATGTCCAAACGAAATGTTTTTTATATGCCTTCGTATATCGAAACATACTCATCGCCGAACCTACTTTCACGCAAACGAAAAACGTGACGTAACAGCTTTGACCGCAATCTGGAAGGTCATTTGTCCCACGACAAATTCGTAGTTTTAACACGCTTGAGCACAACCGTCTGAGAATCATCGCTTGTGCAACCAACACATGCAACACGCATGCTGCAAACACAAGCAGCCATATGCAGCATAAACACACAAGCATCTGCCATTTTTCCGTCTCCCACGATTGAAAATTGGGAGTTCACAATCAATCTCAATGAGCACATGCAAGTCGCACGTGATGCTACCGGATGAAAACAGGCAGTGTTCTCATTTTTGCTGAGGAGCACGCGCCACGCTACATGATTGAAACACAATCACAGATTGCCAGTGTGGTTCCGAAAGGTGACTGTTGACAGTTGAGACGCACATTCAAAGGCGCGCTTTAATTGCAAATAATCATTGTATTGAACATAATCATATTTACCATATCATAGCCATGATGCTGGGATGCTTTGCTGCACGCTGGTTCTCTTCAAGTTCGCACAAATGGAAAAGAAGCCACTCTTGACTGGCAAAGGCTGGCAGGCTCCCGGGCAGCAACTAGTCGAGATCCCCGCAAAAAACGTGGAGTCTGCCAAAGAACGTGAGGCACGTTCCGGACCAGGCGGCTCCCGCTTTTCAAAACAAAAAGGGAAACGAGGGAACGAAGTTAAACTCTGCTTCTATATTGCAAATGGAGGGAGCGGTTTCTCTCCTCCACTCTCCCGCTTTTTGGAAACAACAAGCGAACGGAGGCTGTTATTTGGATTATGATTCTCTATTCATTCTCTACTCCTCAAAATTCGAATGATAGAAATAAAAGCAAGAAACGAGAAAGGTGGGTTTAGATCAACTTTCTACTCCTAACAGCGAAGTCAAGCACGCTATTTGTTGGCAAAAACAATAACAATGAATTGGCAAAAAACTAAAGCTTACATACAGTAATTTCTGCTTAATATGTTGTAATTAATGTAACAGAACAACATATAAAATCTAACTTATTCAAGTAGAGTAACACTTCAGGGAACTGACAAGCACCATTTAGCCTCATCAAAGTTATTTGTTCTTGGTGTGAGAAGTACTGGACTGAGCATAATGGCAAGAACAGGCTTCCGTCGGAAGAAAACAGCGAAGCACACAGAACCCCAACCAAAGCACGGATTCAAGCAGCGGCCCAAAAGAAGCTACTCTAGCGTAGCCCTAACAGGTACCCGAGCTATTCGACTTAAAGGCAGCACTGGTTTCTCAGGCTTGCTTGTTGGAGTGGCCACAGTCACAGAAACCAGAAGTCAAACAGCAAGGAGACCACACTTGTCTGGCAGTTCCACCACCTGTTCTCTCCTGACATACCGCGCTCAGGGAGTCCAAGTGCTTATTACAGACGAAGCCAATTGAAGGGACCTAGCGATGGAGACCCAGTGGTTGCTTTGGACAAGAAGATAACTCGGTGGGCTTTAGAGGACCGATTGCAGGGCAAGCTACCTTGAAAGTCATGACTCTGCCCACCAACAAAGGCACGAGGCCCCATACAATCCCAAGTCCATGGCACCTTGGCCTCTCTCGGAAATCATGGCTGCATAGGTCGGGAGATATAACCACGCAGTGGCGGCGCATAAGTAATCATGCAGCACTTCATAAAGGGCAGGCAGCGTGTGCCATTTGGCAAGTGACCTGTCTCACCACTTGGTTGCCCCACGTCAATGCGTATACTTGCCTGCGCGGGGCAAGGCCTGGTTAGCATGAGGCATGTCAATAGACAGATGTGGTCCGGGAAAGTTGGTCGGCAGCAACAGAAGCTGGTTTGCAAAGTGTACGAGCTCATCGTGCTGCAGGGTTTCTCAACTTTCCAGCTTGAAGAACTCAATGTCGGCCCGAACAGCACTTTCTTATGATTAGCCAGCGCCCAAGAGGGCACGAGTGCGGTTTCGGCTAGATGCTGTCCAAGTGGACAAAGAAGGAGATTGAGCTCGTTGATGAGGCCTGGAATGTGAAGAGTCTGAGGCTTGGGATAACTATGATGACGACGCCGATGCGTCAGCAAGTGCAGAGATCCCTAGCTGCCTGGTCAGACCCTTCTCAAAGACTGAGCCGCAACGCAGTCCTGATGGCGTCCGAAAGAATGTGCTTGGATGGACAAAGGCAAAGGTGGTTTGTTTGCACCGACCACTGCGCATATCATGCTGCGTGTGGTTCCTGGCCTCTTCATGCGAACGCGCCACCATGGTGCAGATGCTTTTCTTCAATGCACTCAAATACATCCGACATGCACACAG